GCAGTAGTAAGTAGTAGTAGTCGTCGTCGTCGTCGTCGTAGTAGTAGGTAGAGGTAGTAGTAGTAGTAGTAGTAGTAGTAGTAGTAGTAAGTAGTAGTAAGTAGTAGTAGGTAGTAGTAGGTAGTAGTAGGTAGTAGTAGTAGTAGTAGTAGTAGTCGTCGTCGTCGTAGCAACAGCAGCATAATAGTAATAGGTATCAGTAGCGGTGCTGGTGATGTAATGGTCAAACTGTCGCAGGAGAGGAGCTAAGCTGTTGTCTATAGCCTGTCGAATCCAATGAAACGTTCCAACATTCATAGTTTCATACAGCAACCCCAGTTAGAGAACCCCAAACCCCCAAATTGCTTGCCCATGGGCCCATCTCCATGACGCTCTGCCGCTTCTCAACCCGCTGCTGGCGCTTCGACTCCTTCGTCGCCTCCGAGGCCTCACAGAAAGTTCAGCACGGAGCCTTAATGATGATTAGAACAAGATTTCCGGAGCTATGTAGGGGATCAGTTTAGGCACCTGCATGATTACAATACTCAGGAACCCTGACGCAGAATGCAACCTAGGAATAAATCGGAGGTTCAACTTGATGTGGAGCTTGAGAAGCCAGCAGGATGTCGTCAGAAACCAATGTAGCTCAGAGGCTTAAGGGTTTGCTGAGAAGCTCTCGGCTATCGACAGGGGCGGGTGGCCATGATCCCACTTTCTGCAGAGAGCCCTTTCCAGTACCTAACTCTCGCAAATGTGCACCGTGGCATCCGAAGCGTAAAGACTCCGTCTCCATCGCACCGCACAGTCCGACAAGCCAGAACTCCGAACGTGTAAATCCCACAGAAGCTAGAACCGGGCTGCGGCAGACCAAGCCGGCAGGAATGAGTGGAAACTATGTAATACCATACAATCTGCCCCCCCCCCCCCAACAGGTTGCAGCCACGTCAGCATACAAGTTATTCGTGGTTATTCGCAATGACATCTGATTGTGAGCAAGGCGCATGCATCCCGTCCCTCTCGTCAAACCCCTACAGGCAGTCGACACCCCAAAGCCCATGAACTACCACGAGGAACCATGCGAATGACACGACGCAGCGTTACAGCCTCGGGATTTTGCTGACTACCTTGCTGATGCAGACGAAAGCCACAAAATTGTGATAAGGGTTTGGCGGCAGGGAATCTTTACAAAAATACAGGGGGCTCGCACAAGATTGCACTATTGAGTTTCATTGTTGGAGTAGGAGATCATAAAGCTCCTACTAGGTAGCTTACACACACGTACACTCACACATCATGCTCCCGTCAGCCGGCTTCAGGGTTCCGGACATGGAGTTTCGAGGTGGGTTCCTTCAAATCATCCGAGGTTCAACGTCAGCTGTCTAGAAAGGTTTCGGCAAACTCTGAGAAAACGCGGCCCTAAGCCCTCTGCACCCGAAATGCCCCTCAAACGGCCCGGCCTTGATCTCCTCCTTCTTGGAGGCCATCAGCTCATCGTAGGTGCTCTGCTCCTTCGCCATCTCGTCCTGGCCAACTTTTCTCCAGCAACAAGGCGCGAGGCTCACTGCTCACCTTTTGGAGATCAGAACATGGTAGGACAACCCAACTCATTTACGAAAGTATAGCATAAGATGGGATAATCAAATACTTCTGCTAATCTTTCAAGAGCAGACATCCAGCTGCGGGACACGAAGAGCAACCTGCAACCAACCCACGGCATCCTCAGCTGGCCCCTGTTCTGCGGGTCCTGCAAGGCCTTAAGGTCCACATTGAAGTCGTCTTTCATGGCCTCAAACATGCCTGCACAACGTCTTGATGAGTTTCTTTTTCTTCGGCCCCGGTCGAAGGTTTCTGAGTCTACTCGAGAAAAGGCGTCTCAGCCAGGTCCGGGGTGTAGAAGCTTTGATTTGAGTTTCGGCCCTGCCCAGGCCAAAAACAACTTCCTGACTTGGCTGGGCTTCGGACTTGTGGCCTTGAATGCGGTTTGGAGCTTTTGGGTGTGTACTCGTCTTCGAGGGAGCGGCAGAGGTGCATGGTCGTACGGTTCTCCTCACAATTTGGAGACTTTGCCTGGGCTGGCAAAGCGCACTCTCTCGCGCCAGGATTCAAACCCAACCAAAAAGGTACAACCTAGACTGATAACACCCTTATCCGCCTTACCCCAAAAAGTGCCCCAGGACCGCTTCTGTAGCCGCTGAGGTCCCAATAAGAAAATCTTAAGGCCGGACATGAACTCTTTTCGCCATGTCGGCCGAAAAGCCCCGCCCTTTAGCGCCTGTGGGAGTTCGTCTCACACCGAGGTTCGAGCCGAAAGAGTTCTGAGAACTTTCAAAGTCTAGATGCCTGGACAACTTCACCGAGGCCCCAACCGTAACCTCAAGCAGCAAGCAGCTCCCCTCAAATCCCTGCACCCCGAACGGACTTTTGAACCCCAGAAGCCAGATTCACTCGCGCCTGCGAGCTCGCCGCCAATGGGCGCCTGCATCAAGCTCAGACCTGCAGATGTCTCGCTTGCGGGCCCTAGTTTCGATCTTTCACGGAACACTGGTGCCATGAGGTCGTCTGGTAGTGGTAGTGGGGGTCGTAGTTAGAAGTCTCGGGCTGAAGAGGTCCGCTCCAGGTCTGACAGTCTTGGGGCTCAGATTTTCAAGCTTTCCCGCTTTAGACCTGAGCCATGCATTACAAAGTGGGGGTCTTGTAGTATTTTGCAAAACGCTTCAACCGCAAGAAGCCCCAACCCAAGGGTGTTTGCGGGGGTTTCGGGGCTGAGGCTGGCATCGGATTTGGCTTGGAGATGTCGCATGACATCAGGGCTAACAAATCTAACACGGGACTCGAGTAATTTCGACCAAAATTGTGCTCAAAAGTTTTCTGGTTCCCGAAGTAGGGTCTTCGTGTCGAAACAAGACGTCCTCGCCTTCCAGGTTCGGGATGGTTCGGGGCAATCTGCTCTCTACCCCCTTGATCCACTCGCTGAACTGGAACCGCAAAACAATCCAAGCATGCCCGAAACACAACCGAGTATTGTGCTAAACCTCTCAGGTATACTCGCCAGAAGCAAAGACCGCTCAAACGAAGAAGACAGCGAAACGGAGAAGAACCCGAAACAACGCGCGGCGAAACGCAGAGGAGCTAGCCGGGAAAGTCTCTCGAACAACTCCGACCCACCACCCGTTTGCCTTTCACGAAGCCAGCTGGATCTTGGAAGAAGGCCTGGCTGAAAAGGGGGTGGCGGGATCCCAAAGGGCAGAGAATCATAGAATCTCTATACGTGTGTAGCTGCGTCGGGTTGCGGGCTTGGGGGAATTATTACTGATTGCAAAAGGCGGTTTGTGGGTTCAACCTAGGTCGCTCAGAGTTTCAGCGTGCAGGGATTGTTGAGGAACTGCATTGCCAGTGGCGGAGGGTGCAATGTAAGTGCCCGCAGGTCTGAGCCCGCAGGCGCAGCATTCTCAACTTCCGACCCGCAGACTAGAATCACAGCCTTCTCGACAGAACTCAAGGCCAAGAAGGCCCTAAATCGTCTGTTTCCAGAGCATATCTTGGCAGCTAGACCTCACCAAGACGACGACGCCGGCTCTGCTACTGCTGCTGCTAGTAGTACTGATGAAGACTTGAGTTGCGGAGTTCGATGGCCTCGAGGCGCTCATGGTCGCGGACGGAGAGTGTGTTGTCCAAGCGCTGGGCACGCCTGTTTTCCCGGGGGGGGGGATCAACTGGGTAGGCTTGAAGCCTTGGAGGCTGGTAGCTCGGACCCAAAGCTATGCGCAGGGAACAATTGCATTCCCCAAGAGCCCCAGACTTCCGAACGCAACGGAAGCGAATAAGTAACTTCTCACGAACACCCAAAGAGCTTTCTGAACACTTCCCTTCTCAAAACATTCAGTGTTGGACTACTTTTTGGGTATGTACCCCGTTTAGGGCAGAACATGCCATGCTTGGGACTCAAACACATCATGAACTTAGCACAACCCGACATTGAAAGAGCCCTGCGTTCGCCAACCTGAGTCCTACAAGCCTCGAAGCAATACATAGCCCGTCCACCGTTACGGTGCCGCAACCCTACATCGACATGCAATCTTAAATACATTTAGCAGCACAAAGGAAACACAGCAAATACATTTCGTGTTTATATATACATATATATTAATATATATATATATATGTATGTATGTATGTATGTATGTATGTATGTAAATATATACATACATATATATATATATATGTATATACATATATAATATACATATTCATATATGCATATGTACATTTGCATGCATTACATACATATATACATGTACTAACATATTTTTCTAGCAGAATATGTATGTATGTATGTATGTACGCAAATCGCGAATAGCCTCGTCACAGCATCCTGCAGCTTAGCGCTCATCTCCTCGGAAACAACTCCCAAGCCACTACGAATTTTTGCCCTCTTTTCAGGGCATACATAGACTGCAGGTTGCGTGGGGCATTTTTCGGATTTCGGTTCTGTGAAGGTAGGTACCTTGAAGCGGCTGTTTTTCGGTGAGATTCCCTGTTCTGTAAGCAGTGCAGCAAGGGTGCATGGGGATAGCTGCCTTCAGGAGCTCCGAATAAAGTGACTGCCTAACTATACCCAGGATCCCTGAAAGGATTCAGCGCCGAGGGAGTTCAGAGGTTTGGGCTTTAGCGTCGTAGTGCTCTGGATTACGTTGTTCGTCATGGCTTGATGAAGATGCGGTTGCAAGATTTCCGAAGGTAGCAAGTTCCTTCGCGAGAAGGAACTCTCACAGTAACCATTAAGCCTAGCAGTAGCTTCCTACCAGAACACTGCAGAATTAAATCTCGTGCAAGAAGCCCACTGCAGCATCAAGCTCTGCCTAGTTCATGCTTGTGATGATGACGACGGTGAGGCCAGCGCTGCAAATCATGGCTTGTTCTAGGTGCATTACCTGTGACTAGGGTGACTTTGCCGCTTCTACTTGTGACCTGCTATCGCAGCAACATGGGGCTCCAAAACACTGACGGAGGCCACTGACATCCAACCCTAAACCTTCATTCGGCACTCCTTGAGGCGTCCCTCCGGGATCTGCATCAACGCCGGCACGCCGCCGCTGATTGCCGTGGAAGCAGCCTCCACAGCCTCCCATCGGTCTGGATGTTTTGGGCGTGGTTTGGTGTGGGGTTCCGGCTTCAGATTCTTTGGTGGTGAAATCTGCACCTCTGCTCCTCTGGCACAGCAGATCGCATGGAAAAACGTCCAAGGAATCTCACGGGAACCAGAAACCAGTCGAACAGCAAAGTTAAGACAATGATGCAGCCAAGAAGGCTTAGAACCCAAATTAGGGTACTTACCCGGCTTACCCTATTCAGATTCATAGCCATGGCCTACCTACTAAACCCCCTGATCCCCTAAAGGATAGAAGAGTCTCACCACAAGAAGACTGGACGTCTACCAGAGATGGACACGGAGCTTGGCCCTGTAGGTCCCGAACCCCAGCCAAATTTTGGGTCCCTCAAGTATGTATCATGATCATGCTACACAATAGGCAACATGTGTTTACGATAGCATATTGTAACATACCATACTATATCTACTAAATGAACTCTACGAGGTACTCATAAAACATACAACATATTGGTTTATACTTCCCTTTCGGTTTGGATCTTGAACCCCCCCCCAGAGAGCGCGCCTCGATGTCCTTGTACAGGGACTTCTCGTTGTCGTTGAAGGTGTCAACCTCGCAATAGCTGTAGGATTTTAGGCTGGGGGTTTGGGGTTTTAACGGTATAGGACTTTATGCCCAACTGCTCTGGGTGTGGGGAGCAACTCTAAAGCCTACAGCATCCACAAAGCTTGCGGTGCACCACAGCCCATCACTACTGCTTTGCTCGAAGCCTGTGAACCCATGACTATGACCCTCAACGGTTTTGGGTTGAGGGTTTAGGGACATAAGGGACACCTCAAAGGATCAGCGTATTTTGCTTTGCTGGAGGCCGGCCTTCGATTCTGCGGGAAGTTGAGCGGTTTTTCCTGTCTTTTAGTGCTCGTAGTGAAAGCCTTACCCCTAACACTACTCTGACGGCAGCGATTCCGAGAGTTTCAGACAATCACGGGACCACTATATAGAATTACGACCCGTGATCTCCCTTGCAAGACAGGGGCATCTTCAACTCATGTAAATGTACGAAAATGAAATACAAATCACAGACAGCTGAAATTAAACCCTGAATAATAGGATCCTTCATATCACTACCCCAGATTTCTGAATCATTCCTGTCGGAAGCCCCTGACCGAAGGCAAAGGCCGAACATCCCAAAACAGCCCTGTAAACCCTAGCAGCCCTAGGAGTAAACTCTGAGCCCTTGAACCCAAATCCCAAACCGCAAGCCTTGTTGCCGTGGAGGACCCGTGCAGCGTCCAATGCGGCGGTGGCATCGCTGACCTGCTGTCTTAGGCATAATACCGGAGCCCTGGTAACAATTCGATCAGGGTCTTTGGTCTAGAGTATAGACTGTCACCGTGTTATATTCCGGAGCCCGATCTGACAAAAGGTAGTTTCGAATAATGCTAGGTAATCTCTCTACATTGAAAAGTTTTTGAACTACAAGCCTAACCACGGCCATAGCACAACTCAGAATTGTCGGTTTCGGCATCTCCAGGAGATCGAGCATGTAGGTTGATGAATAGAGGCTATTAGTTTGTGCTCTAAGACTGTCCCGCAACCCCGCAGTTGATTTGACCCAAAGCTGGAGACATGCCATCGGCATTGTGTAAAAGGATTGAAAACACCTGAACACCTCAAACGCGCTGCTGGATGCGTCCTAGTAGGAGTGGCGGTAGCAGCAGTCGAAGGAGACTATGGGAGCCGATAGTAACTACGCGCAACCGCCCGTAGATGGCATCTGCCTCCGTCGCCAGGGCCGACATCTCAGTTGCCAAGCTCCTTAGGGCATGCCGCAGTCCCGGAACCCGAAGACCAACATTTCAAATCACAGAACCCTCAAGTGCCGAGGATGCAGGTCACCTTTGCAGTCAGCTTCAAAGCAATGGAAGCTTCAGGGACGCCATGCCATCATGCCATGGGAGTATCGCTGAGTGCTGCTACGCTTTCTGCCTGTGATTTGCCACGGCTGGCAACCATGAGGGTCTTATTGAAACGCTTCGTGCTTTACTCAGGTACTGGATCCACCCATCATGGGAATCCCAGGCCAAAATCAACAACTATCCCGAACTCTACGTATCCGACGCCCCAAACACCCAAACCGTCGAAGAAAGCCCAAGCCCTCACCATCTTCCATCTTCCATCCCCTCCCATCCCCTCCTATATCCTATGGTTCTGACGAGTGGCTGCGCCGAGGCGTTGGCTTCGGCAGCCAGTCCCGTGAGTTCCTGGATGCGCGCCTCCCGAAGCCAACTCTTTTCACGTCCATTCTCTTGTAGCTTCCCTTATTGAGGCTTCCGTTCAGGTTTCCTTGAAGGGTTCCGTGAAAGCGTTTCGGTGTTAACTTTTTGCTTGTGGCCAAAATTCTTACTAGCTTTTCTGGCTTCTTTGAACACGGCCTCGTGCAAAATTATGGGTGTCAGACAGAAAGGCTCTCCCAACTAGGGCCATCCTCTATGGTGAAAGATAAGTAAGAGTTTGCTGCGACACTTCCGACCTCGACCTGACGCCGAGGCCGGCCTCAAGACGTGGCAAGATGCTGAACATGAGAGCAACCATAAGAAGAACGCCAAAGGGTCAATAACAAGAAGGGCAACAGCCCAGTTAAGCCAAATCAGCCGATGCCTGGCCGTCGGAAACCTCGACACTCTTCACGTCGTTGTTCTCCTGCCAAGTGGGCCGCAGCCGGGTCTTCCCCATACTGTTTAAGAAGCTTGTTTTGCTCAGCAAAGCAGGGGTTCTTCATGTACTTCCTCGGGATCACACCATAACTCTTGTGTGCACGTGTCTGCAACAGTCCAACAGTAGCATAAACTGTCGGCGTCACCAGTTAAAAACCAACTGCTTGTCCCACCGAACTGCGGATCTTCGCACAGATGCCAAGAGGCAATGGCCCCGGAAGCTTGCCCAGCGCAAAACTGCACGCTATGCACTGTGAAAAGCCCGATAAAGGATGGCCCTGTGCAATCGCATGCAATCCAGAGTGTCTCTCATGCAGGGGATGTCGCTCAAAGCATGCCCTGCACAAAGCCATGTTCGATACCCTAGAGGCGAACGTGTCGATCTCCAACTCAACTTCACGATTTTGGGTCAGAAACCCTCCCTGAGAAGCGATTTTAACAAAGCTGCCTTTTCCCGTGAGGTGTCGAGAGTCTCCGCACGAAAAGCCAAGCATCAGACTAATCCCGCCCCCAAAGAATTATCCTCACCTCGATGCTACCCCACAGAACTCAGGTCGTCCTTGCACCAGCCGCGGAGTTCGGCGTACATGTCCTCATCGGCCTTCTGCTCCTTCTCCAGGGTGGTCTGCATCTCCTGGGCCAAAAGGTGCTGGCACCAAGTCTGACACAGACGGGTTCCTCCATGAGGAACCTTGGAAGTTAGGATGCCAGGATGCTCGTTTGAGGAGCCCTCAACAATGATTCGCAAGAAAGGAACTTTCTAATCAGGCGATTGCACAGTAGCGGCTCCCCGGTCCTTCAGCATGTCGACGACCTCGCTGACAGGTTTGGCGGCTGCCTGGGTCCTGGGAAAGCAAAAAGATGCAGCCGGAAATGGTTGGTGAGGTAGGCGATAGGGATTGGAGTTCGGGGCATCAGATCCTGCAGGACTAGCTATGCTGTGGCGGCCACAGTGGTTCAACTGGCATTGGAAGCAGAACTAGCATGCAGAACAACAGGGATGATATGTGATCTCGACGTGTCATCAGTGTGAAGCTGCACCCGACTATAGCCTTCAGTGTGTACCACACTGTTTGGTGAAAAGGCACGATTAGCAGCAACAGTGTGCCAGTAAACGAGCAGCAACATCAACAGCAACAGCAACAGCAACAACGACGACGACGACGACAACGACGGCAGCAGCAACAACAACAGCAACAGCAGCAGCAACAGCATCAGCAGCAAAGCAACGACGACGACGACAACAACAGCAACAGCAACATGCACGTCGCAGCAACCCAGCCCTTGTGCACCCGGCCTTGCTATGGCCAAAGGTGCGAAGGCCAGGGCGGCCAACATGGTTCGCACCTCCGCAACGGTCGTCGCGTGCACGTAACAGGACTAAATGACCAAGCAACAGGTAACACTGCACACAGTCCGAGTCTGGCAGGCAAGGCCGGCCCCGGTAGCAGTCTTACTCACAGTAGAACTGGAATCCCCACAACAGCACCAGGGGACTGGTGCGATCCTAATAGATGTCAGGGAGCCTGTGACCCCGAGCCCCGGCCCGATGCACTGGAAGTCTAAACTCCCGGAATTCCTAAAAAGTCCAATCCACGCGAGCACCCCATCAGGCTTCAACTTTCCTGAGCCTTAAATCATGAAATCCAATGGCTTTCGGGCCCGCGCCGGCATGGTCTTCAATAGAACGGATCGGAGGGACTTGGCGCAATCGTCCGGTTCCCCCCTTGCTCGTGCCCAAGAGCGGATGCGGCGGTGCAACGGTGGCGTCAAGCACTCCACGAAGCCAAGCACACCTCACTGAACACACCGAGCCTTTTAGTCAAGTCTAGCCTCTTGAGATTGATCCCGAACTCCCCCAAAAACTGAACACAGCAAGCCCATGATGGAGCCAGACCAGCAAAGCCCAGAACCTCTAAACGTGGCAAATCCCGAAGGCCCAGCTTTCCCCCAGGGTCGAGGATCATGTGCAACTCGGAAGTTTGAAAAAGAGATGTCTCGAACTTGAGTCCGGCCCTGATTTCCTTCTTTTCGCATGGGCAGCGCGGATTGCGAAGCTTCGGCGGGAGGGCCCTTGGGGCCCCCCAAGACCACGTTAACTGCCTGCATGGGCTTTAAAAGTTCGACTCTTCATCCCTTCCCCTCGAAGCCGCCGGGAAGCTACGCCTTGCTGACAGCCCTTGTGTGATTTTCGGGGGGGCTCCAGGGCTGAGGGCTGAAGGAGCCACTTTATGGGGCAGGTGGCAGCAGGTGAACCACTTGCAGAGGCCAAGGCCCCCTACATCATGTTACGGATGTGTTATCCTCCTGTTGCTGCTGAAAGTTATGGTAGCAGCTAGCATTGTGGCTCCTCGGCTGTCCTAACCGGTCCAAGAAGGCTGCTCGACCTGCTGCACACGCCTGATGGAGAATCCAGTCTGAACTCTCTGAGCTGAAAGAAGATGCGAGTTTAGGGCCCAGGGCTCGCTTTGCCACTGAAACTTCAACTTCTAATGTAGGATCCGACCGAGAAAACAGAAACAACATCTCCAGGTCGCCTCTGGATGCCCCAAATTCGCTGAAGTTCTGAAGGGGATTTTATCCCCTTGCTGGTCTCTGATCCGAGCAGGCCTTCTTGGCGGCGGCTTCTAGACATCCGTTGGATTGAAGAACTGTGGCTTGAAAGGGTAGGCGACCGCACCCCACAAACCCGAACTGCTCGACCCTGCACATTCATCACTACTGCGGTGAGAATGGATGTGCGATAATTGCTACTGCTCTTGTCTCTAGCAGGCTTGCTGCTCTGCTACATCTAGTCACTCTAGTTACTAGTTCGTAGTCTTCGGCTGATTGGCAAAGCCTACAAAGCTTTCCTCGCAGTCGTAGACACTCTGCAGGTGAGTCTGCGCTAGCATTCGGCGTTTGTGTCCTGGGCTTAGGGTTTTTCTCGGGTGGAGGGGCCTGTCCAGTCCAACATGGATGAAAACCAGCATGCTCAGGCCTCACTTGGAGGAATCCCGGATGCTGCTTTGCATCTTCGCCTGGGCTGTCTGAAAGATTCAGTGCTTCGGACATTGGGGTTGAAGGTTCGGGGACACAAGGTTTCGAGGATCTTCTGCTCTGAGCTCAGTCATCTGGACCCATGACATTCAGGTAGGCACAGACCTATAGACGGGCCGGAGAGTGAAACTTTCAGCATCATCTTTGTGAAGTCTGGGAGGCGGCCCCGAATCCCACACCCGGAACCCCCTGCACCATGCAGCCTTTTGGCTTCGGAGGCTCCGAAACGGGCCTTTCTAAAACGAAGCACTATTCAACGGTCAAGGCTAGCTCGGACATCGCTCCCAGCAACCCAAAAGCCAACCTCTTCCAACAGCTAACAGAAGAAGACTACGGAAGGAGGGCCTAAAAGTAAAAGATTTCTTCGATGGGGATGCCTGGTCCCAAACCCTAGGCCGTAAACGAACTCCTCAAAATGTCCAAGCTTCAAGTCTTTTAGACTCCGCAAGCCCTAAGCCTTTGATTCCTCAACGGCCTTATTTACACTCCCAGCCCATTTGGGAGCCTCCGGAACTAGGCTTTTGCTGAGAGTTTTAGAGTACGTACTTGGCTTGACAGCAGGGTTTTGAAGTGCTGGTGTATGGTACTCTTCTGCAGCCAGTCGACATACATCCGCATGGCCGTGCGAATCCGGTTCCATCTTGCTTTCACAACATTGCGCACCTGCAGGCGGATCACGAGTGGTTGCAACAACGTAGTTCATGGACTGCACAGAGACGGATCACACTGCTGCCGTCAAGCGAGCGGGATGTCTCACGCACGGACTGCAAAGAAAGTCATGTGCCGGCTTTGGAGAATATTCTACTGGCCTACTCAGTGGCTTGGCTTCGACATTCCGTCCATTCCCAGCCCCGAGCTCACAACCATTGGTTAGCACACTGAGCTCTTGTTTGTAAGCGCTCGTGTCAATCTACGTCTGACACCCCGAAAGATCAACACCTCAAACTACGCCGACCCCGATTCTCTCCCTCAGCTCCAACCCTTCAGCCTAGCAGGCAAGAGCCCCAAACCTCCGACAACCCGCCTCGTGATCTGCGAGGTCCGCCAGCTCACAGCCCACCACGTCCTGCATGTTAGCCTTGGCTCGCTCGCTAGGACCCTGGACTCCACGCCTGCACACCGGACCCCCACTCAGCAACACAACTCCACCGCCGAACAGAAAATCACAGCAGCAATGGCAGGAAGCCAGATGATCAACATGAATGACACGACAACTAGCAAGTAGTGCTGAACATCAGAGAACCAGCCGCGGCTCGTGGTCGGGCCGAGTAGCAGCGAAGGACTTCTTGTGCTGCAACCGCTCGCGCTTCTGGAAGCCACCGGGGTGCTCCGCCTTGATCTATTGCCATGTCCACTCTTTGAGCTCCCAGGGGGGGGGGGTCTAGCTGCGAGACAGATTACCTGGGTACAAGCGCAGGGGTTAAGTCGACCCATCCCGCGTGAAGTCGACCCACCCCCATGTACACGCCTCGATTCGTGTGAAGTCGACCCATTCGCCAAAAGTCGACCCATAGATTAGGAATCCCCAAGTACACGCTAGGTTTCAAGGGGATGGCCTGATGTGCAAAATCGATACGAAATGCGACACTCTCCACAAAAACTAAACCATAGAGCAACGAACCGAAGTGAACATATTTGGGAATCCCCAAGTACACGCCAGGTTTCAAGGGGATGGCCCGATGTGCAAAATCGATAATAAATGCGACGCTCTACACAGAAACTAAAGCCACAGAGCAACGAATCGAAGTGAAAAGATCTCGGAATCCCCAAGTACACGCTAGGTTTCAAGGGGATGGCCCGATGTGCAAATTCGATACGAAATGCGACACTTTCCACAAAAACTAAAGCCATGGAGCAACGAATCGAAGTGCAAAGTTTTCGGCATTCTCAGTTTTGACCAGGTACGTCAGGATGCCTAAGTGTCCTTGGCGCACCACTTGCACAGCACCTCTGTGGTTGGAGGGGAGAGATCCACGACGAACTCGTGGTTTCTCTCAGCAGACCTTTGCAACGCCTGGATGGCCTGAAGCTCCCAGGAATGAGCGACTGCGCACAGCTGGTGCCAACGCTCGCGCATGGAGCCGATACAGCGACGCTTCATGCACCTGCCGGCGGCTCTGTCGGCCCGGGCATTCCAAGCACGGTAGGAAGCCTCCCACTGCACGTGAACGAAACGATTGTTCTGCTTGCCATGAGACGGCACCCAGTGGAAATCAACCCTCATGAAAACACGAAGTCTACGGATTGCAGCATGCACACGCCGAGCCAGCACTGGGACCTCGCCCAAGCTGCCGGCAGCGATTGCAAGTGCAGCCTCACAATCACTAACAACTGTCAGGCACTCGGCCCTGGCACTGCGTTGACAGGCAAGAACTGCGCTGAGGACGGCCGCATGGATCGCCTCAACTTCGGCACGAAATGCACCTTGATCCTCCGAGGGAACTCCGGTAGCTACCTCCCCATCGCACGCACGAAAGACCACAGCAAGGGCAGACACGTCTTTATCTGCCGATCCATCAGTCGCGACAAAGACATGGTGTTGTTGATGCATGGGCTTAACCGTCAGCTCGGCCATTTCGTCAATGGCCCCTGCGAAATCCACCACCAACGCAGGTGGTGGTTTCTCGATTCGCAGCTTGCCCAACATGCGCTCCTCCAATCGGTTCCCGGGAGCACCAAGGTGATCGCGGTTCGCCTGTGTGTGAGGGCGGACCCACATAATATGTGGGCGTGACGGCATCATTGCATCACACATGCATCTACGACGCGGGTCCTGAGGCTGAAGTTGCTTTCCCGCCATCTCGTACCACACCGAAGCTCCCGTGACGAAGCAGGCATGTTTGGTACGCCTGGTGGTAGCAGCTTGCCTAGCTGCCAGGTGGCCACTAAAAGTGCACAGACTGTCAGGAGGCATTCCAGGAAGGTGTAGCCCTTGGGCGAGGTCTTCCTCATCGCGACGATGATTGCTTCGCTGAATCCGATTGCATCGCATTAACGCCCGGCGGCGCAGGTGATCATGCAGCCAGTCTCGAAGCACTCCGACCCTGTCTGCCCCAAGTTCAAACTTCCTAGGACGCCCACAATCATCAAGCCTCTGAATGAAGGCCCCATCAGCGGATGCAGTCCAGCCTAGCTCAGACATGAGCTGTGCAGCCGCTGGGAGGATCGCAGGCCATTTCTGCAGTGCAAAATCCATGGCAATCTCATCCGCCCAACGTGGGTGCCTAGCTTGACAGCGGATTGCCGCCTTCACGATGGCTTCCATCATGGCCCCTACAGGTTCGAAGCTCCAGCCCACCATTTCCAAGGCAATGGGGTGAGGGGTGTCCACTAAGCCAGGCCCCTGGATGGCCCGGCACACGTCAGCTCGCAGATTGCTGAGAACGGCAGCGTCCCATTTGACCATGCCAGCTGCCCATGTGAACATGGGCGTGGCCAATTGCATCACTAATGCGCGGCGACGAGTTTGCGAGCAATGGCATGCAATCGCCCTCTCAACTTGGCCTCCCCGTCTGACTTGAAGTTAATACAGTGTTTAACCCCAACCTCATGACAGAGACCCAAAACTGTCAGATGCTCCTTCAGTGTGTAGCCGGTGGCTTCAACGATTTCTGCCGCCGCAGAGCTCTGTCTGG